GTTTGCCGTTCAGTCATTAAGGGATTAACTCACTTACTGACTGATTTATTTTGCTTTTGCCTTTGTATAAATGGTTGTATGATAACCTTGAACATGTTATGCTAAAGTATGAAGGCTACACTATTCAATTAAGCAATCCCATTGGTTTTTTTCAATGGTTTTTACTTAACGTCTTTCTTAAGCTGCGCATAACCGCTACTTTCAGTAGATGATTCGTAAAAATGAGAACGATCTCCTTACATAGGATTTCAAAATGATGGTGTTGGCATGGGATGGCTGAGTGTTAAAGAAGAAACCTCGTATGCGGAAGAGGAGAGAAGAGGAGACATGGAACCAGATTCAGAACCAGAACCGGAGCAGGAACCACTACAAATCCCGATACCTGAACCAGCGCCAATGCCGGAACCTGAACTTGAACCAGAACAAGAGAGTAATCAATCATTTTTCAACTAACCATGTTTATTAAACGTTCATAATATCATAGTCGAACTGCATGAAGTACAGGAAAATGTTGGCTATCACACAACCACAAGAATGCCAGACATGTTTCGACTGGTGAAGCATCAAGTCAACGATTCGCAAACCAACCTCGGTATCATAACGCACAAGTTCGTTGTCGTTCAGCACCAAGTTTAGAAGTGTGGTGTCAGAAAAGTACTCTACTGAATATAAAATATTCTTGAAAGAAAACAGTTATAATATTGTTATGCTGGACCTTTACTTAATGCTTCTTTTTATCAAACCTTAGTTTTGTTCCGCAAAGCAACCACTAATAACTGATTGATGCTACTATATAATAACCTGCAAGCAAATAAAATTTAACAGACACAGTACCTCTTTTCAGAAAGAGAGACCAGAAAGAATGTTCTAAATGCCGAGGCATACCTTGGTGAGTTATCCTAGGAAATTTTATAGTGGCGCTGGAAAGAAAATGCGACGTATACCTCAATTTAGTATACAAGAAGAACAATGAGCCTTCTGGTCCGATCGACCAGAAATTTGTTCTACACCAAATTTGCGAGAAAACCTCAGAAATCTTCCAACCGGATTACATGTGTGCTACAAACTTAAACAAGGCATACAACCGAGTTATGATGATCAACTGTGCGCATGCCTGCAGGAATAGGGGATTAACGGGAGGGTGAAGCGTGTCATCAAATTATTGTACTATGATAGCAAGAGCTGCGCTGACTCTGGACTTCGTCACTTATTCTGTTAACATATTTTGCTCCTAGTCTATATAGACACAGTAGCCAGATGTAGCGAAGGTGAAAACTGAATCGAAACCAATTACAAAGGCCTAAATTAGAAGATGTGGAATCCCGATCCCCTTGCCACATCACTTTGCATGTTAGTGGGGCCACAGTGAGAGAGGAAGAAGTTTAAATACTTCAGGATCAAATTTATGAATGAAGAAGGAAGAAGAGTGATCGAGCGATGAATCGGTTTCGCAAGTTGAGTGATTTGTAACTGTACGGAACAGTCGTAACAAAGGCGAAACTGCGTCTTGGAGCAAAGCTAGCAAAGTTCAAATAGGCTGTTATTTCAACGATCAAATATACTCATAAAGCTTGGGTAGTAACCACCAAGGTTCCCAGGAGAATCACTGCAGTAACACTTGTAGACAAAATCAGGAACTCAGTAATTCGAGAATCCATGAGGATCGAGCCGCTACTTCTTAAGATTGAAAGATCACAATTGAAATGAGTCGGCCATGTCTCCAAAATGCCGCCAGCAGGGAGTCAAAGACTGACTGACGCTGTCCAAAAAGGTCCAGAAAAACTTGGTACAAGCGCATCAAGAAACTCTGCACCCGACTTCCTCACTTTCTATCTGAGATCGATTCCATAGCTGCAGAGGCATAAACTCCTAAGCGAGCTGTTCTCGCGACTCGAAAGGAAATGCGTGTCTTGAGCATCGATGGAATGTACAGATGGCACATTTGATATATATTTCGTCCTTCTCTACTTATCAACATGATGGCATATTGATAGTTGTAAATTAGGCAGGATGAAATAGGTATGGGGTATGAAACAGGTATGTACATCTGATGGCAGAGGTACTAATGAAACTAACGTACAGACTAACATTACCAGCGAACGTCCATGTTTAGCCAGACGAGTAATAGAGCTGAGGCTTAACGGACTTTACGTTGATTGACATCTGGCCGGTGGCAAAGTCGATTTTCGATCGATCCATCGCCCGCAGTCGCTTTACGGCATTCTGGGAGTCATATAACCTGAAATCCATGATCCGCCTCGCCTAATCATCGTTGTTTTACATAAAGGCGCTCGTAAAACCTCATACTCGTAATGCATCCGGACGTCAACCGACTAAAATCGTTCGCGAGGGTTTGCCTCGTCGTGAGTTCCAGTGGTGTCCATGACACCAGAGATTATCAACTAAGGAAAATACATCTTATGCAAATTTTCACTGACGTATATAAGGCAAGGCAGTGATAGAGGAACTCATTTCGCGAGGTGGTGCACTGTTGACGTTGGACGCTGCGACCGTGACCTGAAGATGAAAGCGACGATGATGATAGTGTTCGTTGTTTTGCTGCAGCTGTGCTATGTGCTTTCGACAAAGCAAACCGGTGAGCATAGCTGTTAAAACATGTAATTAGTTAGTAAATTAAATATATGAATATGTTGATTAAGTAAACAGATTGCCACGTAAGAATCCGGTCGGAAATGTTACGCAGGATGATAAAGTTCAGAGCGAGAATGGCTCCTTCGTAAGCAACATGGACGCTGCTCATGGCGAGTCATCACAGAGTGAGGAAAGTGAAAGCCACGAACATGGGTTACATGAATCACACGAGTCGCGCGAAAAGCACGAATTCAATTCGACGCATAAGGATCATGTTAATGTACCAAGTGAATCAAGCGAGTCCAGCGAGTCTCATGAATCGCACGAATCCAATAAGGTGCAACACCTACCGGACTCCCACGAATCAGACGACTCTCACGAATCCGATCATCCACACGAATCCGATCATCCACACGAATCCGATCATCCACACGAATCCGATCATCCACACGAATCTCACGAGTCCCACCATCCACATGAATCACACGAGTCCCATGAATCCCATCACCCCCACGACTCTGACGAATCGCATCCTCCTCATGACTCTCAAGAATCCCCTCATACTCACAAATCGGACGAGACGACCAGTCACGTCACCACACAGCCGTCAACGGAAGAGAAGTATACATCGACGTTTGTGGACACGAACGGTCGTCAGCCGAAGGGAGCGAAAAGAATTTTTCGACGAGGAGCTGGCTCCCACTTAAGGAATGGCAACGAATCGTCTGAGAGTAGGCGGCAAGAACCTGCTGAGGTATTTCAATTATATTATAATTATTCATACTAGGCGAAAGTAGCGAAGAAATGAACACAACTGAGGTCATGGACCTCACAGATATGAACATAACCGAAGAGCCGGCAACGAATCGAATGGTCAGGATGAGCGAACTGGCTCACAACATCGACGACATATTCCGCTACCTAACTAAAGATTCAGCATCCACTAGAAAGATGCCTGGTCCGAACGGTACCATAGGTAATGACGACTTGTTAGAGAGCAGTGAACAACAACTCTGGAATGAAACGACTAAAAAGCGATCGCTGGCAGTTCCGGTACTGAATGAACAGCATCACGGTGAGAAAAACAAAATTGTTTAACGTTAATTAAATTGATGAAGGTCACTTGAGTCACTCACTTAACACTAGAAGCCATGAGTTTAAGGGCGAGTTACTAACGGTCGATCTGTCGTAGACTAATTCAAGACTAAACGATACTGACCACATAAATCTTCAATGTGGGCTGTCTGATTTACAGGTGATAGCTACGTATACGTTGCTCGAGGTTATGCCATAATCGACGACCGATCGAAAAATATCACCGAGGACAGTGAGGAAAGCGCAGCGCTGTATTCGAGAATAGCCAAAATATTCCAAAAAGGTACGTGTCTGTTTGAAACCTTCGAGTAATTCTATTCCAGTAATTCCAATATGAGATATCTATCTGCAATGACCTCATAGTTTTACACAAAATCATCGCGCAACAACCATCAGCATGACTGTTCATTACCATGATCATGGAACTAAACGGTTGACTGTAATGGTTACTTTTAACTTGTCCCCGCACTACCTTAAGCCTTAAATGGGATGTTTGAAGTAGATCTTGCATATTCTGCTTCGACTTTGCCAGTCACCATTTTGTTCTCTTCCACTGGTATGCTGACCTCATAAAGATGTTCATTACAGTTAATGATCGCTGTTTTGGTGACGTTGTATCAGAGGGCGGGAAAATGGAACATCGGCACACCCAATCTTAGCTTATGATAAGTCTGCAAGCAGATCGCATAGATCAGTTACTGTGATGTTACAATATTGCTTAGTGCCTCTTGGACAGAGTTAAACGTTTCAGCAGTTAGGTTTGCGGCTCCGCAACGATTTCAACGTGTTTGCTAATCGGCATTACGTAGATACAAATATACTGCCAAAGACAATATGGAAGAAGTATGTATATAGTAGCTTCACTGCAGCAAAACTCAGATTATAAGAAGTATACTCTATGCTTGCTACGTAGCTGCTGACGAAATCGTACTCTGGGCTGATGACGAAGAAATTGAGGTCAGTGCTCCGCTATCAACTTTATGAACAGAAGAACGAACTTCATTTCTCCTAACGGTAGAAAAATTCATTGAAGTTAAACGGTTAACTCATTTGCATGGGTGAGTCATTCAGTTGACAATACAGTGTTAAGTTATTAAAACGTATTACTATCCAATTCTCAAGCAATTGTATTGACGCAGATTTGTTTAGCAATGGAAAAAATGTTCAATGACGTGAAGGCGGTATTTGCTACATGGGAAAATAGCACTATGTGAAATGGAACGAGGTACAGTTATCTATTACTACTGAGTAACATTCAGTCTAACTAGCATAAGCTTGATGTAAGCGTTCAAAAATTCGTTATTTCCACCTTGAGGTTATCTGCTTGAATTTTCACACCTCCTCGTCTCGATTTCTACATAAAGTCGTAACTCTTATGACTGACGACGATTCACTGTCGGAGATTCCTTTAAATGAAAGTTTGCTGTCTCATTCTCACTTTTTAACAGCAGTTACAACGTTTCGAAGCCTCAACAAATTTACAGTGGACGAGCTTTCTTTGGTGACGGTTCATGCCTAAACTCCTTTACTGTAACTTCTCCACAGGAATATTTCATATTCTCAGGCGTTAGAGTCGTAGTAATGTTGCAGTCCCTGTCTGTCTGTTTACTGGAGTCGATTTTAGCTGCACTAATATTCTCTGAAGGACATGATAAGCTGTTACTCTTCTTCGAATATGCTGCGCCCCTACTATCAACCTGTAGCACGAGAGCGTAAGGGTAAGTTAACATTTACGATAGGGTTAGAATACAAAAGATTTTCAGGCTCATTTAATGTTGTGAACCCACATGATATTAGTCGAACAAATTTGAACATCCAGTAAAAACGTGCAATACTGCCAGAAAAATCGCTTGAGGTAAAGCTTAAGGTTCGCGATAAACAATGATCTGCTTTATATCTGATTACACTACTGGCTTTAATGCTGCATGTTTATATAGGTAATTTAAACTGCTAAATTAACCAATTTTTAGACTAAGCCAAATCCAGAGCGGTCGTCAACGTTCATCTCCAGCAGCTTAATATCGCCGCCATTGTTTTACAGATATTACAGTTGTTTTACGGAAACGAAAGTTTTATGAAGATTTTGTTTTACCGTACCGTTGCAATTAAACGTTTTAAAAAATTTTAAAAATTTTTGGCCGTTGTTTACTACAAACCACGTAATGTACATAAGAAAAGCACAGGTCAGCGGTAAACACGCAGCATGGCGTTGTAGACAAACGTAGTCAACAAAGAATGAAAACGGTTGACCATGGACATCGACAGAAACTATTCGCGCATACTCTGAGGAACAAAGAATCGGCGTAGCACGTGGGGAACGGAACGGATGTTAGAGCGGACGAAATGATCTCGCCTAGTTCTCTTGCTCGACGACTACGTTCGAGGAGGGAAGCGTTAGGGTGTTCAATGCGGTAACGGGGGCCAACTGCACAGCAGCCGTATTCAACGTGTTGACCGGCGTCAACTGCAGCAACTGTACTCCCTGCGCCGTGTTCAAGGTGACGTAATGCTGTAGCCCGCCACCCCCCGGGGAAGACTGATGGGAGCTGGTCTGCATTGGTTCCAGATACATGACCGGTATCTGTTGGTTGGTGCCTGGCTGAGTGAAGAATGCGATCTGCCCATTGGTGGTCACCGTCGGAACGGCAACGTGTTGTTCTCCCTGACCAGAATCAACACCTGAAACGTCTAAGAATAAATGGTATAAATTAAAACTGAATTGGAAGAAGCAGAAACACCAGATTAGTGTTCAAATTAAAGTGATTAAGCAAAGAAAAGAACCGCAAAGCAACCGAGAATATAAAAACAAAACACATGACGATAAATAAGAGCAACGTCCCACAAAACGATGAAAACTCACAAAAATAATATTTAAGGCAGTTATTAGGAATTAATAAGCAGTATATGCAAAGCATGAAACAGTCCTGCTTTGCTACTATATGGACTCTACTAATCTCAATCGCTCCACCTTGACTTCCCTTCGACATTCCAGTCGGTCACACAGAAACAAGCACATCTGAATAACGCCACACCGGAAATTGCGCCAACTTTAATGAAAGTTTACAATTCTACTGTATTAGGCACAAAAAGAGATGAATAGCTTCGGTATAAATTTGACGGCAACGATTCGACCGAGTGTAAGTAAAAAATAGAAGCTACAAAAACTGTAACGATAGTAGGTGCAAAACTGAACGGATATATTAGAGTAATAAATCTCACGCCTTTGAAACATATATCGATTCCCGATCCAAGTTTTGATTGATTACACGATATATTTATCCAGCAGGTATTCAAATTACATGGACCAGTGGCCCGCTGCTTAAATGCGCCCCCTTCCCAAGCTTCTACATGTGGTGCGATACCTCCTAAAACATAGTTTAGAAGCGTTACGTGTCTATTAATATCCCACCATGAAATAACTTATAATGTATAATGCAATATTGTTATAACTTCTGCAATAAAAATATAACCATCATAGCCGCCATAATCTATGGTGCAGAATGTCAGTATGCTACAAAATTCAAAAGTAACAAAATGATAACGCAAGGAATGGTGAAATGAAAAATGTACAAGGTCTTCCTCCAACGTCATGTTCCAAGAGCAGAAATTCAATAACGGACTGAACCAGCACACCCGATTTTTCCGTTCTAAGATGGCAAGTGAACTTGAACCCCTCAAATGTCTCAGCTGAAAACAACCACAGGGTGTCAAAAGCTACACCA